GCCTCACCAGCAGCAGCGCCTCCAGGTGGCTGAGGTACGTCTCCTCACTCGCCAGGATGCCGGACAGGACCCACTTTCTCATCTCCAAACCCTTCTCCAGGTCCGGCTCAGTCTGCGGGAGCAGCAGACAGAAGTCAGATCTGCGAGGTGGTGCCCGAGGCGGCCCGTCTCCGAGAGGAAGTGTGCCCACCTCGACCAGCCTCCCGGGAAGCTCCGGGTGGCACCAGAGGGCATCACGGACACCCCGGCTTGCCGGCCACTCACGCGTGGTCACCGCCAAGCCGAGAGCCACCGCTGGTCTTGACACTGGGGAGCTTGGAGCCGAGCCAGCCGGGCGGGGCCTTCCTCCGCCACACCTTCCTCCTGAGACCGAGGGGTGGTGGTCCCAGGAGAGGCCGGGCCGAGGGGCGTCGGGACCTGCCGCACGGCCACCCCAGCTCCCTCTGCCGCTGTCACTCCCTGCCCGGAATCTGCCACTATCACCTGACCCTTGGACCGAAGGGCCAGGCAGTCCTGTGCTGCCTCCTGCCACACACCCTCCCTCCCTCCTGGCCTCGGGGCGGAGCTGGGGGCTGCTGCCACCTGCGCCGGGGAACACCTACGGTGCTCCCAGGGCTCAAGACCTTTGCCTCTAGAGCCCGCTGTTCTGATTCTGGGGGCAGGGACCCCCTTAGGGGTGGGCTACAGGATCCCCTCCCCTCCAATCAATACAGCTCGACTGCCTTTGCCTCCAGAAGCCAGAGCTCACGCCCCTGGACGCTGGGGTCGGGGGCAGACAGAGCCCACACAGCCGGAGGACCACATTCCAGGCCCAGCTGTGCCAACGCCACGGCTGCACTCGGCGTTTGGGCCTTTAAAGATTACGGTCCAGCCAAAACCGGTTTGGCTCAGTGGATAGAGCGTCGGCTTGCGGACTGAAGGGTCCCAGGTTCGATTCCGGTCAAGGGCATGTACCTTGGTTGCGGGCACATCCCCAGTGGGAGATGTGCAGAGGGCAGCTGATCGATGTTACTCTCATCGATGTTTCTAACTCTCTATCTCTCTCCCTTCCTCTCTGTAAAAACTCAATAAAAAAAAAAAAAAAGATTACGGTCCAGTGAGGCCATAGCAGGGGCCCGAAGCCACGGTGACCGGTGTCCTGATAAGAAGGCGTCAGGTGGTCCCAGTCATAAAAGAAATAAGTCCCGCCCTGGGGATGTATTTATTGTACAGCACGGGGACTGCCGTTAATAATACTGTTTGTCTGCTGAAACCGGTTTGGCTCAGTGGATAGAGCGTTGGCCTGTGGACTCAGGGGTCCCAGGCTCGATTCCGGTCGAGGGCATGTGCCTGGGTTGTGGGCACATCCCCAGTGGGAGATGTGCAGGAGGCAGCTGATCGATGTTTCTCTCTCATCGATGTTTCTAACTCTCTGTCTCTCTCCCTTCCTCTCTGTAAAAACTCAATAAAATATATTTTTTAAAAAATAATAATAATACTGTTTGTCTGTGTGAAAGTTGCTAAGAGGGCAGATTTTCAAAGTTTGCATCAAAAAAAAACCCCCTGTAACTGTGAGGGGATGGATGTTACCGGACGGATCACCACTTCACAATGCACACCCATATCAAGTCACGCAGCGCACCTGCGGCGAACGTGAGCTTGAACATCGGTGCCTGGATGTGTGGAAAGGAGACTGAGATGCAGACACAGGGAGAAGACAGCCGTGGCTCAGCCAGCGGCACCGTGACCCTGGACGTCCCGACACCAGAAACAGGAGCAGTAAATCTCCGTGGCTTAGGCTCCCCCCTCCGTGGCGCTCGGTTATGGCCACCCCAGGGAACTCAGACAGACGGTGATGATGCTAAAGGCCATGACAGCTGCCTCGTGACTGCCTGGCCATCGGCCCAGCCGGCTCCCTGACCCGGGACGGGCGGATGGGGTGTGGCAGAGCCTGGTGCCGGAGGCTGGCCATGCCCAACAGGGGAGGGGCCCCGTGTTCAGGGAAGGTGACCTAATGGCCTGCCTGTTCCACCACCAGGTTTCTCAGCCCACAGGGGAGGGCGGGACAACCTCCGCTGTGGCAGCCCGTGAGCGTGGAGGGAAAACACCGCCCCTTCGTCACTCACCTCCCCGAACCTCTCAGGGAGACCCCAGGTGAGGGGCAGGCACCTGGCCCCCAGCACCCCTGACATCGGGGGCTGGAGGACCTCGGCTGGGAACTGGGGCCACTGTGTGCCTTGCAGGTGGGTGAGCAGCATCTCCGGCCTGTACTCAACATGTGCGAGCAGCAGCACGCAGCTCAGCTGCTGCAGATGCTGCCTCACGCCCCCGGGGCCCAATCCACCCAGGGGAGAAGTGCTTTTTTTTTTTGGTTAATCCTCACCGGAGGATACCTTTCCATTGATTTTTGGAGAGAGTGGAAAGGAGAAGGAGAGAGAGAGAAACATCGATGTGAGAGAGACAGATGGATTGGTTGCCTCCTGCACATGCCCCGACCAGGACCGGAGATCAATCCTGCAACCAAGGTACATGCTCTTGACTGGAATTGAACCCGGGATCAGTCCGCTGACTGACGTTCTATCCACTGAGCCAAACCGGCTAAGGTGAGAAATGCTGGTTTCAAAGAAACACCTGACGGAGGCCAGCCAGGGCCCCCGGTGTCACCAGAACCCGGAACCAGCACCAGCAGTGTGGCCTCCCTGTGCCCCCAGCCCTAATGGCCATTCACCCTTCCTGGCCCGGTGGGAGGCAGGCGCCTGGTGGTGAAGCCGGCCGGCCCAGCAGGACGCCCCGGGGCCAGGAGTGCGGGAAGGGGCTGTAGAGCCGGCTGGCCTCGTTCGCTCCTTTAGCCCCGAGCCGGCCGCCTGGGTGTGAACGGGGAAGGGGGCCGGTCCCTGTGTCCCATCTACTTCCACTTCCTGTATCCCTGGGGCTTGTATCACGTCCTCACTGCCCCGGGAGCATCCAAAGAGCCTTCCTGGCCCTAGCCAGTGTGGCTCAGTGGATAGAGCGCCGGCCTGCGGACTGAAGGGTCCTGGGTTCGATTCTGGTCAAGGGCACATGCCTGGATTGCAGGCTCAATCCCCAGTAGGGGGCCTGCAGGAGGCAACTGATCCATGATTCTCTCTCTCATCATTGATGTTTCTCTCTCTCTCTCCCTCTCCCATCCTCTGTCAACTCAATAAAAATATATGAAAAAGCAACAACAAAAAACAAAGAGCCTTCCTGGACTGCCAGCTTGCTTTGTGGCATCTTGTAAGTGTACATGTGCTAGGTGCATGTATGAACGTGCATGTGTGTGTGTGCACATGCACGTGAGTGCATGTATGAACGTGCATGTGTGAGAGTGTGCATATGCATGAGAGTGTGCATATGTGTGCACATGCACTGTGTAGGAACCAGCCATTAAGATCTTGGCCGACAGCCACTCTGGGAAATGACACCCAGGCGGCACACCCCGGCCTCCTCCCTGAGCACACTGGGCGCGGCTCCTCGTCCAGGGCCTCGGGACACTCTGTGCCTGATGCTGACACTCCCTGCGCCAGGGCCGTGTCTGGAGCAGTAAGTGCTGCATGACGATTCCTGAGCCAGCAAACCCGCGATGGATGGATCTAGAACTCCACACAGGCCGGTCAGTGCAGGTGAGGGTCTGAGGGCAGGAGTCTGGGGCAGGGGTGGGGGCCTGGGGCACAGGGAGAGCCTCCTCAAGGGACCTGAAGGTGGAAGGAGGTCCTGTCAGGGAGAGAGAGCCCTCAGGGGCGGTGGCCGCACAGGCAGGGGCACAGGCAGCGGCCCTCCCGGGCTCAGGACTCCACCTGCTTACTCAGGCCCCTGAGGGTCCTTGCCTGTAGGAAGCCGAGGGAAAGTGTAGGCTAAGGGCTCAGGAAGGCTTCCAATCTCATCGCTGTGTGGCCTCGGGCCAGTTGCTTCACCTCTCTGAGCCTTGGCCAAGTGTAAAATGGTGCAACTGGACGCTGGGTAAGAAGCCGCACAGGCAGGTGTGTGCCACACACCGTTCCCCTCCCGTCTGCAGGTTTCGGCACAGGCCTCGGGCCCGAGGTCTTTAGAAATCACAAAAGCGTAAGTAAGAAGCCTTCTTGCAGCGGAGGCGCCGGCCCAGGGAAGCGGCCGCCGTGAAAAGACACGTGCCTCGCTCTTCCTCGCAGCGGCAGGAAGAGCAGACTCCTCCCGTGTTTCATCCTGGGTGGAAATCACCCAGAAACAAGCTAAGCACAAGGGGGAGGGCCCTGCCCTCAGGGCCGAGGGGGCCAGAAAGATAGAGGTGCAATCTGCCCCAGGCGCAGGGGTCTTCTCACGAAGGAAGGGCCCGGCCGGTGTGGCTCAGTGGTTGAGCCTCCACCTATGGACCCGGAGGTCAGGGTTCGATTCCCGGTCAGGGCACATGCCCTGGTCGCAGGCTCGATCCCCAGTGTGGGGCGTGCATGAGGCAGCCGATCCAGGATTCTCTCCCATCACTGATGTTTCTCTCTCTTTTCCTCTCCCTTCCTGAAATCAATAAAAATATATATATTTTTTAAATGACTGTGGTTGAATGGCACCCCCTCTGGTGAGAGGGGGGTCGTCAGCACCCCCTCTGGTGAGAGGGAGCAAGTGCATTTGTGGGTGCCTCTCCTGCTCAGCACCCATGTGGGGGCCGCCCCCACAGGTCCCAGCATGAGCTGCCCGCCTCCTCCACGCCGGGCTGACAGCTCCCTGCACCAGCAGGCGGTCCCTGTGCCCGATGAAGGG